CCCCGCCCCCCCCCCCCCCCCCCCCTTTGTTTACATCAGTCAGTGCGCTGTCGGCTGGCAGCTAAAAGGGACGACTTATTGGTTCCTAGCAACCAATGATGCCAACAGTGGTTGGAGCCTGATTTGGACCAGTTCCCCATCAGATCTGCTGGTTATTGACAGGTAGTGGGTGGATTCCTTAGCCAACAGCAGGCTATGTAGCTGTGTACTTAACCGGTGACACTGACAGTTGGTGGAGCCCCATGGAGACTAGTTCCCCATCAGGTCCACTCTGCTAGTGAAAGACAGCAGCCGGTGGGCATATTCCATAGCCACTAGCAGGATATCTATTGTTATAGAATCTGCCGGCTGTCAATCACCAGGAGAGTAGACCTGATAGGCGGCTAGTCTGTCAGTGTCCCCAATTGGCTGCACCCACCCATTAGTAAAACTCCTCGGCGGCTGCACTGCTGTGTGACAGGTGCAGTGGCCATGGGAGGTGGTGGGTAGCACTGAGGACAGAGTGTCCAGTATGGCTACTGCAGCTTGGGTGCACCACAAATGGCAATGCTTGCATCAAATCCCTGTGTTCTGTGTGCTGTGTTCAGCAGGGATATAAATCTGGGACAAGCACTGACGGTTGTTGTGCAGATTCCAGAGTGTTTGCATTAAAAGAATGAGTTCTGCTTTATGAGAATGATAGCTGCTGAGTTAACAAGGGGTGTTTTATCCTTAAATACCTCATTGAATTATTTTGCTACTTAACCACTTGCCATCCGGGGCATTTTCCTACTATTTGCGCACACATGATAAAATATACATTTTTGGCTAGAAAACAGCTCCAGACCCCCCCAACAATGATATATTTTCTGAAAGCTGAGGCCCTGTAGAATAAAAAAAATGCTAGGTGCAATTTTTTACGTTGCACGGTTTTTGCGCAAATGTTTATCAAACCCGTATTTTTAGGAAAAAATTAAATGAAAATTTAGTGCACAGAAACATAATATAATACCCAAGTTTGTGGTAAAATATGAAAGACAGGATCCCGTCGGGTAAATAGATACCAAACATGTCAAGCCTTAAAATTGCGTTCGCCCATGAAGCCGCAAAAAAGTAAATACCCCAAATTTCCCATATGGAACATTTCAAACGCGTTTACCGCTCATCATTGTAGTGCTAACAGTCAATGACCGTGCTACAATTATTGCTCTTGCTCCGACGTTCGCGGCGATATGTAACATGTGTAGCGCAATTGTCGTTTTTTAAGTTTTTAACACTTTATTTTATTTCCACTAACCCTATTGCTATTACATAGGGAGCTAACAAGCACCCTATGTAATAGCAGATAGGGTGTGACAGGTCCTCTTTAAGGAGACATCAGGGGTCTTGCAGACCCCTAATGTCACCTAGGGACCCCAGAGAAGCTGAGGAAGCAGAGATCTGTTTCCCCAGCTTCATCTCCTGGCTCCAACAGCCGGAGACTGTACAGTGACACTGGAAGTAATGTAATACACATCATTGGCTCTAACTACAACCCTCTCTGTCTACAGCAGTGGTTCTCAACCTGGGGGCCGGGACCCCTTTGGGGGTCGAATGACGATTTGCCAGGGGTCGCCTAGCAGCTTCCGGCCACCCAGGAGAGAAGCGCTTTCTCTGCTCTTTTTTTTTCAGTGAGAAAAGAAAAAAGACTTTCTCATAGTCTACAGTCTAACCGGTCTATACACCGACTACAACCCTCTCTGTCTACTGTCTGACCGGTCTATACACAGATTACAACCCTCTCTGTCTACAGTCTGACCCATCTATACACCGACTACAACCCTCTCTATCTACAGTCTGAGGTAGGCATGTGATCTATAAGTTTGAGACTACGTTAGAATGTGTGATCAGTGACGTGTTCACACATTTTAACGTAATCTCGCCCAGTTTTTCGGCGGTGGAATAGGTGAAGAATTCCAACGCTTTCTCCGCTGTTGTGAGATCCGACTGCGATCTCACATTCCACCGCGCTCACAAAGTCGGATAGAAGTGACATTTCAGGACCGATCAGCTGTTTCGGGGCAGATCGGTTCTCCTGCACATGCGATTTGCGATGCCGATCTGCCCCGAAACAGCTGATCGGTCCTGAAATGTCACTTCTATCCGACTTTGTGAGCGCGGTGGAATGTGAGATCGCAGTCGGATAGAAGTGACATTTCAGGACCGATCAGCAGTTCCAGGACAGATCGGTTCTCCTGCACATGCGATTTGCGATGGCGATCTGCCCTGGAACAGCTGGGAAAGCGCTGGAATGCTTCACCTATTGGCGGTCACACATTCCACCGCCGAAAAACTGGGCGGGATTACGTTAAAACGTGTGACCACGTCACCGATCACACATTTTAACGTAGTCACAACCTTTGATAGAACACCGCCATCAGAGGGGTATGGCTGGTACCCATGTGAGGGGTCTGGGGGGCCTCTTACATGGGTATCAACTGTACCGAGGCAGCATCCTGACAACCAGACCAGCCCACCTGGGACCCTGCAGAGCCCACCATAGAGAGTCTCAGGTGGGCTATACAGGATCTATGGTGTGCTCTGCAGGGTCTCAGGTAAGTTCAGCACGCTACTGCAACATTAGAGACCGCTGAGGGGGAGGGGAGAGGCAGCCAGTGTGATCTCCTCCCCCCCTGTCTTGGGAGGGGGGCACAAGATAAAATCTTGCACCAGGGCCCTTTGGTTATTAGTTCCGCCACTGAATGTAATACACATAATTTCCGGGTCCAGTGATTGGAGGAGAGATCAGCGGATGGAAGCAGCTGAATCTCTCTCGGATCACTTCGGGGAGACCCGCCGAGCCGTTCCCGGGCGCCACACGGGGACAGCGGTGCCCGGGAAAGACACCGGCTGCCGCGGCAAGGGGGAGGGGGCGCCGCCACAGGGTAAAAAC